AAGTTTTAACTAAACTGACCGCTGCTTTTCCCCATGATGTATATAGATTTGTTTCTCTTGAGGCGCTTCTTATCTGTTTTGTAAACCACCACCTTGTCACTGAGGTTTTATTTTTCCACTGTGAAAGTTTGGAGTTCGCAGGGATTCCCTGAACAGTACACTTTACCTTCTTCCAGTAATTGGGCCCTAGGGGAAGAGAAGCAGTGTTAAGGGCTGGAATTGTTCCCTCCAAATTCTTACATTGAAGCCCTCATGCCAAGTACTCAGAATGGGTGTATTTGTGACAGGGCTTTTAAAGAGGTGATTAGTTGAAACAAGGCTTTTAGGAGGGCCCTCATCCAATCTGATGAGTATCCTTACAAGAAGAGAAAATTTGGACACACAAAGAGATACCAGTGAAGCATGCACAAAGAGAGAGAAAACCGAAAGACAGGCAAGAAGGGCCATCTGCAAGCCAAGGAGAAGACTCCCAAGAAGCCCAACCTATAACCTGCTGACACCTTGATCTTGGATCTCTAGCCTCCAGAGTCCTGAGAAAATAAATTCTGTTGCGCATGCCACTCAGTCTATGGTAAACTATTATGGCCATCCTAGCAACTAATGTAAGAGGAAGTACGAATAAGTTCAAGGTTTATCTTTGGAGATTTCTCTTAGGTCACTCAGTGCCTAGATTATCTCATCTCACCTCTGTTATAATATAGCAGCCTCACCCCTCACCTTGACCGTGACTATGTCGAAAGTCTTGAGTTTTACACTAGTGATATTTTTATTTGTTCCCATGGTGCTTTCACAAAACAAATTGTTATTCAGACCACACCAACTGTCAGCAAATTTAAGGGGTGATTGTAGGAGAGGAAGGATCCATTTTATTAATTTATCACCAAGGCCAAAGACAACTATAAATTAAATATAATCATTTTATCTGTCAACCAACACTATGAATTATTCAGCTCATGAATCTCAAGAAGGCAGGCAGAGAGAAGATGGTTAGAAAGCAGCTGGGTGAGCAGAAGACTGTGCTCAACAGATCAAAGCAAAACACCCCTGGCTAGAAAAACTTTAGAGGCAGGTCTCTTGTGACAATGAATGTTTCTTCCAAGAAAGATGCCTGCCTCATGTGTTACCAGGGGCCACTATGACCACCTCTGCTAAGATGGTTGAATAGGACTCATGCCTCCTAAACATACACTCCCCTGTTTCTGAGCAAGAAACCTCCCTGCAATATACTGTGATATGTTCCCTTTTAAATTGAGATTCCAAGAGTCTTATGCCTCAGTTAGTTCCCCAAGTCTAAAGAGTCAGGGAAGGCTGCTATTTTGTGGAAGATAAAATGTAAGTACATGTAAAACTTAGAATCCTCTAGAGAAACTGTTTCTAAACTATCAATATTAAAGCATTTTCCAGGAAGATGTGCTCTGGAGTTGTTAAAGGTGAAGAGGGGGAAAAATGAAAAAATATACAAATCTCTTATGAAACTGAGGTTGGCAAACAAATATATTTTACTATTTATAATCCTCTGCTACTAAACTGCTAGTGCTTTGATAAACATGATAAAAAGTGCGAAATAAAGCTGAGGATTAAAATAAAAAGCCTGGAGGGATAACTTGAATAACAGGAGAATGTAAATCTGTATTTTATAAAGGATGTTTAGATTTTATATTAATTAATTTGGCTGCTATTTGAAATACTTACCCACTCCCTGAACTTTTAAAATACAGAAGCTCTTACCTTTCATAGTAATCAAAAATACTTCTGAAATTTACACTAGCTGAACTCATAATGTCTTATTTAGCTCTATATCCTTAGCAGAAGCACCCAGCCTGGCATATAGTAAGAGCTTAAAAAGTGGTTAAGCTCTTTAAGAAGACAGCTGGCTGTTGAACAGAAGACAGCATCATGAGGTGTGAGGACCCTAAAAGAAGAAACTGAACAACAGGGGAAAGACTAATAGATTCACACTAAGAAGAGGATTATTCTATCCTGAAACACACTTAACCTGAGACCATCTGGGGCACCCCAGATAGTGTGTGGTCTTCACTCCTCAATTCACAAAGGGGTTCAGCACCCTCTAATCTGCCCTGGGATAAAGACTTTAGGCAAATCTGTAACAATCATTTTCTAAAAGATTGGAGCCAAGCATGAGTAAAAGCGTGGGTAAAATAGCAGCTGTTTGGAAGATTTCTGTTCTTACATCTGTCATAGTGTAAATCCACTACGAGCTGGAGAGTGGTGAAAGGGAGTGTGGGAACAACTGGTTAACAGCAGCTCTGGGACTTTGGCTTCTCGGGAAATTGGGAAAGGAGCAAGAGTGGTTAAAAAAAACATTCTCTCTTGAGTCCAAGAGGTCCTTGTACACAAGAATCTAGTTTGTTTTATACTAAAATGAAGGGCATTATTTCTTCCAGACAACAGAGAGTGTTGCCTTTAACTCTGAATAAGGTTGGCAGTAAACTATTTGGTAATAACCATCAGTCTCACATGCTCCACTCCTACACCTCCACACAAAAGACTTTTTAAACAATTGCTGTTAGCTAGGCTTTGTCTTGGACTAGGGAAAAGCAAGTGTAATCCAAGTAAAATGAGAGGTGCATTAGCAAAGCTCGCTGGGGTCTTCTGGTCTCTAGTTAGAAGGCAAAAGGTCACAGCTTGGATGTGGGATGGGAGCCAGAGTTGGGGCATTTGTTGATTGCTGGTTCTTTGATTTCAAGCTCCAAAAATTAATTATATGCAAGGAGCCTATATAGATGCATTCACTCTCCAAGTCCAAATCAATAGGTTGGACTTCAGGATTGAAAGAGGATTCTGAAGAGTTGAATTCATGAGCTTTCTTATCTCAGCCATGCCAGACCTGGGTTCACTGCACTCTACAGCTCTGGTGATCTGAGAGCCTTTTCTGGGTCTCTGGCCATTTATTTACTTTCTTTTTCTTTTCCATCACATTGAATCTTATCGGATGTAGGTTAATGAGAAACCAAACTGGGAACCAGTCAAAAAGATTAAGAGGAGTCTGAGGAAATGATCCCTGAAGAAATAAACTAAACAGAAAAGAATCACATTTAACCTGTGCAAAGCTCAACCCCTTTAGCTGAAAGAAAGAGAAAGTGAGAGAGTAAGAGAGAGAGGACGAGACTCGTCGCGCGCCTGCCTCGCGTTGCCGTCCTCGCCCGTGGGCGTGTGTTGGGCTGAGAGATGACGGAGAGGAGGAGAGAGATGGAGACACTGAGGAACCCTAGGCAAGTACTGCTCTGCAAATTCCACCACCTAATAGTAGCTGCTTTTAACTGTTCACATCCTGAACAGAAAACATCAAGACCCTGCCAGCCTGTAACCTCCAACTAATACATAATCTTTCTCTCCCGGCTGATCATTTACACTAATTAGCAAAATTTAGCTAATTATCGCTGAGCATTTCAAAGTTTAATTATGGCTATTAGTAATAGTCTGTCTGGCTTCCCCCACCTCCCATTCCCTTCTTTTCCTTTCCCACTCCACTCCCAACACTCCTTCTCCCCCTTAGGAGTTAATGGTTTCAATTTCAGTGAAATTGCTTTTTTGGTGGTTGTGGCTCTGTGTCCTAGGTTTATTAAGTTCTTTCTTTCTTTCTCACTTTCTCTCTTTTTTTCTCAACACCAGATCCTGCAGGAGTCACAGAGAAAACAGCAACCAGATCAAGATCAAGCATCACCTCCTTTCCACCATCACCCTCCGCCAACCCTACAAGCTGTGAGCTGCTTGACAACTCCGTCAAATAAAATTTAAAGAGAGAGTCAAAAAGATCCAGAGTATACGCTGGCATTTTCTCAATGTGCTTCCACTTAACACTACAGACGGAGCAGAAGCCCACAGCTAGGAGGCAGTGGGAAGAACCAACTTTCTGAACAGGGTCTGGATGTTATAGGTCTTCAAAACATGAACTAGGGCAGCGACCCTCATGTGGGGTTTATATTCCTGTTCCCCAGAGAGCTGCTCTGCAGTTGGTCTCCCTGGTCTCCCTGTCTCTGTGCTTCCTACTCTCCTCACCCTCTGAGTGCAGTGCATAGTAAACAAATAAGGAAGCTCCCTTCTTTAGAACAGTTTACTACAGCGAGCTCTTACCTTAGTTGCAGACATCGCCCTTTTAGAAGCAGCCTGCTCAGAGCTGAAAATATTTTTAAGAGCCACAGATCTCTCCCTTCAATAACTATTCAAGGAGGGTTGTTTGGAGCAAAACATATCATACCTGCATTACGTGAACAAGCACATTCATCCATGCAAACTTTAATTGAAACATTTGCATAAACAGTGGAATCGTGGAATCGAAGTTACTATAATTTACACTTGTGTAAATTATAAATGGACTTAGCCTTATCTTACATAATGCTTCCTGTCTGGTAGTTAGCAATATTAGATGTACAGTTTTAGCGATAGCTGCTCTTTCCACCAGACATGTGGGCAGACATAAAGCTGCCAAAATGAACAATAATGACCACTGGTTATTAATTATATTTTCTGCCTTCTTATACTCAGCTACTCTGCCCTGACCTTTACCACACAGACTACTTTACAGCAGTTCAATCAACTTCAGGCTGAAGATCTAAGGATTCTTGCTGTCTGCTATTTCCCCACAACTAGCTCCCAAACAAGAACAGAGAAAGGAAGGGTGAAAGCAAGGTGAATGAATGGTTTCTCAAAGTGCAGCATCGGGACTCGTCTGATAAGTTGCCTGTCTTCGCAGGGGCGTGAGAGTGCAAGGTTGCAAAGGGGAGAGTGTGGTGTTTGTACAGCCATGAATGAGGGAGCTAAGGAGAGGAGAACCCTTTAGAGAAAAGTAGGGGGCTGTCCGCGCAAACATTAGCCTTTAAGAGAAAGTGGAAATTTGCTTCCTTCATGGGCATGCGATGCTTTTCATCATTTTAAATTCAATTTTGCAGTTCTCTTCCCACCCTTGGCACTACCTGAAAGGCAAGTGAGTTAAGGAATTGCTATGCCCCATTAAAAGGATAAAGAGCAGAGAGACCCACCGTGCCCTCCTCGAAGGGAAACAGGGGAGCGATAGATAGAAATAGGCACTGAGTGATGCTTGCTGCCATGGAAATGGTGCTCGTGCTGAGAGTGAGACCCCGGTGAGGAAGAGGAGGAGGAAGAAGAGGAGGAGGAAGCTACATTAGAGGAACTCCACACAGAGCTGACGATACATCCCCAGAAGAGCGACCAGATCCCAAGCGTCCAGGCCGGCCGGCGAGGAGGGCTCCGTCTTGCGTGGATTCTCAGGTGCATGGTCAACGCACTGGACCACTACAGATGGGCAGTTTGAATTCCAGCCAGTGAGGAATAACGAAGTTCATGATGCCCAAGGGCCCATCATAGCAGGGGGAAGAGTTGCCAGAATTTTGGAAAGAGGGAAGCAATAAGCACTTTGGAGACAATGATGAATCAGTTAAAAGGAGGGGAAAAAAAGATACTTCTAAAAAAAAAAAAAAAATAAAAGGCAAAGCCCTCCCTCCCGGAGGCTGAAATTCAGAATTCCAGAGTCCACCCAGGTATAGCAAACCTCCTCGGGAGCCCCGGCATGTCACACATGGCAGGGGAGGACCGGCGAGGCTTCCTCCTGATGTCTAGGCACCTCCAGTCTGATGACTTAACTGCACACTTCGGAAAGCCACAGAGAAAAAAAGGTGGAAACGAAGAAAGAGGAGGAGGCAGCAGGAAACCCAAATAGGTTCAGGTTAGTTTATCCCAACATCCAAAGAGTTTGAACATTTTTGTTTTCTTTTTCTGTTTCCACTTCCATGCGATGCAATGCAGAACTGCCAGGCAAAGGGGGGTTGCAGGTGGAAGAGTTCTTCTTGTGTTCCTGAGAGTATCGGCGGAGGGAGGCTGTTAACCCTGAGCTTTCTGGACAAGCGCCACGGAGCAGCCTCCTGCTTCCTGGGTTTCCCCACTGGATGCAAAGCAGCAGCAGCAGCAGCAGCCGCAGCCAGAGGAAGAGAAGCAGAAGGACCGGAGGGAAAGAGGAGAGGAGGAGGAACCCAGCACGGAGCAGCCACCGAAACCAACGCTGCTGCACGGGGCGGAGGGAGGTGGGTGGGCGAAATCTGGGAGAGCTCGAGAGGAGGTGCCCGTCGGGCGGCAGAGGTGGCCGGGAGGCAGGCGGGCGCCTGCCAAGTGCGCGGAGCAGGGAGGCACAGGTGAAGTGAAGCGAGGACTTGGGGAGCCAGATTCACAAATGGGCAAGTCATATGCAAATAGCGCACTCCCGAGAGCAAATCAGTGCGGCCCGAGCGCTCTGCCGAGGGACTGGCTGGCTCCGGAGGGAGGAGGGGCCGGAGCCACCCGGAATCCCGGCCCTCCCCATTCAGTACACGCTCGTCTACACCCGCGCGAGCCTCCCGCGCGCCGCCCGGGCGCCCTCCCCTCGCCCGCCTGCCGCCCGGCAGTGTGCGCGCGCGCGTGCAGTGCCACAGACAGACCGACACTGCGCCTTCTTTAGCACCCGTCCCCCCTTCCTCTTTCAGGCACGTTAATCCAAACTCGGGCGATTAAAGCACCTTTTGCAGTTTGGGAAGAAAACTAAAGGCAGCGGAGGCTAAGGCTGAAGTAGCCCCAAATAGATGTAAAAATAAACCCCTTGAGTCAGCGGGAGCGCTGGAGCTGCTGCACGCGGTGGTGCCACACGCACGCTCCTCTTCGCCTGGCGGTGGCTCCGGTGGCCGCTCTCCAGGCGTGTTTCTCCCACGGTTAAGGTGCCCAAGGCCACACCCACGAGGGGCGAATGGACGGAATCCGCATCCTGGCTCTCAAAACTGAAGGAGGAGGGGTGGCCAGGGACTTCGGAAGGTCAAGGGCTCAGTGGCTGGCAGCCCTTCGAGAAGGTAGCCTCCACTCCCCAGTGGACAGGACGTTCTTGGAATTTGAGAGCCAGCGGTTAGCGCCTTCACCCGCTATCCTGGTCAAAGAACTTTAGAAGAGGCTATGGATACATCTGTCAGCCAAAGAGGAGTGGCTAGCCTGTCTCACAGCAGCCACGGAGGGGCTGCCTCAGGTGGATGAAGTCCCCTGGGCTCTAAGTACCAGAGAGAGCATGGTGGGGTTTGCATCCAGACTGAACCTGCAGGAAAGAGCCTGAGTGGCAGCACATGTCCTCTCATGGCCATCTGTGACTCCAGAAGGGGGCTGACCCAGGGCTGTGCCAGGGAACAGTGACATTCTGGAGCAGGCGGCCTCCACCCCTCCACTATGTGTGATGCAAAGCAGTAGGTGCAAACCCAACGAGCTGCCCTCTCAAGCCAGGCCCGTTTCCACCCGGGACTTGTTGGCTTTAACTCCCTCTTACTCATACTGGTTAAAAAGCCCATTACACTGGGGCTGGGGGAGTGAATAATACTGCTGGTTAAGTTGTATCATATATATTGTATTTAGGTGGCTTTTTAAAAGGGGAGTTTATAGCACTTATTACATACCCCTGCTCTCGTTTCAAACCCCCTAAAGATAAGGAACATGGATTAAAACGGTCCTAAGTCATCCTTGAGACACCTCAAGGAGATATTGAAGAAGTAGTATTATGTTTTTAACAGATAAAGATACCAGGCTTACAGGTGGTTTGTCTTCAAGGTCATATATCAAGTTCATTTCAGAATTTATGGCAGTGACTTGGTATTCTGCAAGTGGTGTTCTCCAAAAGCTCCAAGCTACCCATATAGTAAATGGTGCACAGAATCATTCTAAGTGCCCTGGCTCTCAGCGCTAAGGGTTATTCGGGACACAGCCTCCCAGGAAGTGGCCCTTTGGCAAAGTCTTTCATGCTTTTGGGTGTGCCCACAAACACAATGTCTTAAATCCATGACATGCACTTAGGAACACAGGCAAGTGAGTGGTTTTATGAATACTCAGTTTAGACCTCAGTTTTCTCCTCTGTAAAATGTGGATAATGCATCCCTTATGAGCTTGTTGGGAGTTTTAAAGAAGACAATACACAGCATCTGACATAGCACCTGACACACAGTGATGGAACTCTTTGTTCACTAGAAAAATAAGGTGAAGTTCCTCAAAAAGATTAGGGATATGGTTAGGGTTTTATGCTATTATTAGCAAAAACAAACAAACAAAAAACAGTAAAAAATGTAATATCTGAAATATCCATGATCATTTTCATGCAATCCAATTATTTCTTAATTTAGTTTCCCAGATGGATTCCCACAGCACTTTTGGCTTTTTCTGATTCCATGTCATGGCCCTAAGGGGATCTAGGGGACTGAGCTTATGCCTAATTATCTAACTCCATCTCCTGCCAGACACCATCCTACTTACTACCCTTTAGTCTCCCAGACAGTCTTTCTGCTCTTTGTGCCAAGTTCTCTACCAGCCCAAGGCCTTAAGGGTCTTGTCAGTTCCTCTTGTCTGAAGGCTCCTCCCCAAGTTGTTTCAATTGGTGCATTTCAAATGTCACCTCCTGGCCCTCATCTGAAGTTGAAAGGCATTCTCTCCCATTACTCTGTTTTATTTCTTTCATGGTACTCTTCACTTTCTGAAATTATCGTATCTGTGTATTTGTTCACAGTCTATTGCCTTCAAAAAAGATCATAAGTTCCCTGAAGGGTGAGCTGCTATCTTGTCCTCCCCTATATCCTGTGTGTGTGCAACAATGGGCAGCACATAATAGGAGCTCGGTAAATATTTGCTGAATGAACAAATCCCATGAATCAATTGCCAGTCTCATACTCACATGTTCTTATACCATTAGTTGTGCTGATTCCTTTGTCTGGCTTTAGTGACATTGATCCCGAGACAAGATTTCCAGAGCTGATAAGCTCACCACCTCTCCATTTAATGTTGTTCATCTTTTCTAAATTGGTACTGAGTGTTGGAGACTCCGTTTTGACTTCACTCTAAGGATGCACAGGAAGCTTAGATGGACCTTCCAATTAATTCTCTGCTAGACAACAAAGTGACAATAAATCCTTAACGGAGGACAAAATCTGGAAATGCTGCTGGTCCATCACAGCTGGAACTATTCATTTCATTTGTCATACTTATAATCTATTTACTTTTTTGCAAAATGTCAAAAGTAGTAGTTGTGAATATCGGTAAGGCTGATCCCATTTGGGGACACAGTTGAATACTGAGAAGACTTTTTAAAGGACAAATGTGAGACTGGTTTATTTTACTAATTCCACTCTAAAGAGACATCTCACAATGATCCTGATGAAAAATGTATGGCCTCCAATTGAATACACTGTTAATTTTTTCATGTGTTTCCTGTCCCTCCTGCCTCTCCCTCTAGTCAACATATTCTACTTCAATGTCTTTTCTGATTCCCATTCTTCTCAGGTCCATTAGTACTTTTTCAGATTTTTAGCTCCAGTGGTATCTGCTAAATACTGCCTGAAGCTAGCATTCCAGCTGCCCTCGTCTTACCATGAAAAGCTCCCCACTTTCCTCCTGAGTTGGCCCCTCTCTAATGGGTCCCTTGATAGGGAACACTTAGGAATCAAGAACACAGCTACAGGATGAAGATGAGAGCCCACTTTTAAGACAGAAAGGAAGAGAAATAGATTTAGAAATGCTATGCTCACCCAAATTTAAAGTTGAAAAGTATAAATAATTTCATGGGAACAACCACGCTTTGCTCTCCTTGAATAAACCCCCACATAATCATAACTCTACTCTTTGGATCCTTAAATTTCTAAATGGAATGCAGTTTTTTTTTAATTCAAACCCTCTATTACTTCACACTTCAGAATTTGGCATTATAGACCACCCCCCATGTTTTTTTTTAAATCTCCTCTACCCCATCATCACCCCCAGGGAGAATGTCCCAAGGTAAGGTATAAGAATTCTTACCCATCTGATCCTTTGTGTTGTTTTGCTCTGTGTCTCAGCTATAAAGTAGTGTGAGGGAATCTTCTGGCTTCTAAAATAAGCGTTGTGATTGTACTTAAATGTGTCAGGCATCAGGAACTTAATGCAAAGTTGCCCTGCCCATTGTCTTGTCTCTCACAATGCTGTACATTTTATCTCTGCACAGGCCTCTTCTCACTTGCATGGACCCTGACTTGCCACTTCACTGCCAGCAGGAGACACCTGTCAAGTTGTTCTCTGCAGCCACATCTAATATGACTGCACAGACACAGGAAGGCCAGAAAGCGTCAGAGCAGTCAGTGTCTGTGTGAGACTGGAACTCTTAGGTGACAACCGTCTTTTTTCAAAAATGAAGGGTAGAAATCCTTACTTTCACTGTCCTCACAGGGATCCAAAAGGCAATTTAGGGAGAGAATAACAAAATACACACACACACACACACACAACCAAACGACTAAACTCTCATAATGTGAAATGAAATAAAAGTCCTGAAAAAATACAGATGACTGTTAACATGGCTATAAATATATCCAAGGGTTCCAGTGACACCATAAAACAGTCCAACTTTACTTTATTATGTCAGTGGATTTATTTACAGCCACATAATTCATCCTTCTGCTCATTTAAGAAAGCCATCCTGCAAAAAAAAACAAAACAGATTTTGATTATATTTTCCATTTAGAGGTATAAAAGAGAAGCTTTATTCTTTTAGACATCTCACTCCTGCATGTATTTGATTAAAAAATAAAAGATAATGGCATCCCTGTATAAATTTATAGTTCAGAGAGATTATATATATATATATATATATATATATATATATATATATATTGTTTCTGTTTCTTTAACTTATCCTTCTTATGAACATCCACAGTTATTCCCTTGTCCTCCTTGTGGCTGAATTAGGGATATCAGGATTTAGATGTTGAGAAAAATCTCTAGGAAATTTTCCAAATCTCTTCCGTTTGAACAATGGGGCTGGGATATACACTTCATCAGAATTTTTACACATTTCATACAGGACAAGAAAAATATAAAATGTTCCCACATAAACCTTAGCTAGCTTCCTTTGGACTCCAAGTAACATTATTTTAATACAGAAGCATTTTTGTTTCTTTTACTCAAAGACAGGGCTCAGTTTCTCATAGAGAGATTAGGACATTTACATCCCTGTTAGTCTTCACTAAGCTTATATTGAATATCAGATCTTCACTAAGCTTATATGAATATTAGATCTTCACTAAGGTTACACTAGATATCAGAGGTCTAAACTTTCCATCCTCAGTGCCATGAAAATCTCTATCCAGTTTTGAGGAATCAAATAAAATGAATTATAATTATATAATAACAAAATGAATACTCTCATTTGTATGTTTAGATAAAATATTAAATCCAAGATTTAGAGGATTTTTTGTAAGGCAGACTTAATTCAGGACATTGCAATACAATAGGTACAGGTAAAGGGTTTTGCAGTGGAGGAAAGAGATAGATTCAACTCCTTAGAAAGCACGTTGAGAGTACCTATAGATTTGGATCTTGGGCTCCAGTGCTCAAATGCCTACGATCAAATCCCGATTTTGCACGTAAATTGCTGTGAAACTGTAAACACAATCTTAGCCTCTTTGTACTTCAGCTTCTCCATCTGTGAAATGAGAATAATCATACCATCTATCTAACAGATTTGTTGTGAGGCTTTAAAGTTAACATATGTAAAGTGTGTATAAACAGTAACTGGCACACAAAAACTGTTCAATAAATGTAAATACTAATTATTATAATAATATTATTTCATTATTATTATTATTATTATTACTATCCTCTTTTTCTCCAGATGACTGCTCTCAGGTTATCCCTGCAGATAGTTTTCCCTTCTTGTTTATACAAATGTCCAGGGGAGTGAGTGAACAGAAAGCTCTCCCTGCAATTCCAAAACACAGAAGGGGAAGTCTGTCCCTATGTTACCTGACTCATTGGATGCTCTTTGCCCATCTTCTGTGGAAAAGGGAACAGCGTCATCACATGCCTCTCACAAATATCCTTCAAGCCAATTCCAAAAAATAAAGCTCATGCTCAGTCCCAGAACTAGGTTATATGGGCTACCAAAATCTAGCACTGTTGTATAAGTAACTATTTTCCAGAGTGGGGCAGAACTCTCAAGATCCCAGTCTGCTTTGGGGTCTGGAAGGGCTCTCTGGCAACTTTGCGATCTCATCTTTTTATGTTCTCACTTTCTTCTCTAGAATAATAATATATAAAAAAAATTCTAATTAGCTTTCTTCCTACAAGACATGCCTTCTAAATCTTTTAATAGTTTCCATCGGATTTATGCAGTATTTGATGATTACTCAACATTTTTTTTTTTTTTGAGAAAGTGTCTCACTCTGTACCCTGGCTAGAGTGCTGTGGCGTCAGCCTAGCTCACAGCAACCTCAAACTCCTGGGCTCAAGTGATCCTCCTGCCTCTGTCTCCCCAGTAGCTGGGACTACAAGCATGCACCACCGCGCCCAGCTAATTTTTTCTATTTTTAGTAGAGACAGGGTCTCACTCTTGCTCAGGCTGGTCTCTAACTCCTGAGTTCAAGTGATCCTCCCGCCTCGGCCTCCCAGAGTGCACTAGAATTACAAGCATGAGCCACCGCGCACAGCCATTACTCAACATTTTTAAAAAGTTATTGTGACTGTACCTCTAAACTAGGTTCTACTAAGTATAGAAAGAAATCATTCTCCCCTTCCCTTCGCTTTGGTGCCTCAATTAATTTACTCTATGAACACTAAATTTATGCAGACTATGGGCAAGGCACTGGGTGAAGTCCAGGAGACCAAGTGATGAAGAAGAGATTTCAGACCTTAAGAAGTAAACCCTCTAGCAGAAAAAAAAAAAAAAAAATCTCCTAAGCCAAATTAAACAAACTATATAAATCCCATTTAAATATACACCTTCCCAAATGTAATGTGATAAGTGCTAGAATAAAGATATAAACAAGTACACAGAAGAATAGAGAATGGAATTAGTCTACTACAGGGAGGGGAGAAATGATGAAGAAAGGTTCACAGACAAGGTGACATATGAACTGAGTGTCAAAAGACTAGAGTTAAAATCCTGGGTCCACCAGCTTTGTAACATTAAGCAAGTTACCTTAAACTCTTGAAGCTTATTTCTTCAATAGTATAAATATGAATAATCCCTACTACCTCAAGGGACAGTTTTGAGGGCTTGATGAGAAGACATATTTGAAAAGAAGATTGTAAATTGATGTTCACAGTTACTATGGAATTGACCTTGCATGGTTTTAAACAGGAAGAGAAAAGGGAATTAAAAGTGAGGGGAGTATCCATGAGGGGTAGAATCATCCACAGGGAGCATCCTGAAGGAGGCAAACCTTAAGCCCAGCTTTCACTTATTACATATGTCAAAGTTTGGAGAGGTCAGAAATGGATCAACTTTTCCTTTCAGTGCAAAAGATAGGTATTTCATGGGATAACGAAAGGCAAGGCAAGGCAAGGCAGGGCAGGGGAAGGGAGGGTGGGGTGAGGAAGGACAGAGGAAGGGGAGGGAAAGGAAGGAGAAGGGAGAAGAGGGGAGGGGAGGGACAAGATAAAAAGAAAAAGGAGAGGAGGAGAAACTCACATGTTAGAAGCCACATTCTTTATCTCTAATGAGTGAGTTGCCATACTCAGAAATGTCAAATAAACACCAAAATGAATTTAAAAAAGCTAAATTGTGGCATAGCTGGGAGATTTTCTGTTTAATTTATTCCACATTCCTACTTTTCAGACACTAAAATATCAATCAGATCGAATTTATAAGATTACCATTTAATTCTAGGGACCTCCTACTTCAGGCATCATCTTACTTGTGTCGATCTCATTCACTATTCCATGGAAAGTACACCATCTAAGTACAGGGATAGAGATCTAAAATAATGGTCATTTTCTCCTTGATACTATATAGTCTTAAATTTACTTAACTGACAATTTTTGGAGGGGAATGAGATGAATGTTCTCCTAACACAAAGTACAAAGTGTTATTAAGCAGCTCCAGAAATGTTTGCAAGATGGATGATAATAAGGGCATTACTCAGTAATATTGAGGATTTAGCACTTTCTAAAATTTACAGTGACATCAGGGGGTATTGAAATGTAAGTTTATGTCATAGGTAGGAGGAACAGACTGTTCTTAAAATAGATAAAACAACATTAAGATAATAATATTTTGGCACTGATGATATCATGTCTTCAAAATCTACCATTTCTAATCTGGATAGGCAGAATTAGTTGTTTTTCCCTACCTTTCTAACAGTGTTCTGTTGACACTTGTCAGAATGTTGACTCTGTTATTATCCATTGTTTTATATCTAGGTTCCCTACATGATTCATGAAATCATGAACTCAGGCCTGATCCTAGAACCAGACAGCTTAAATTCAAATTCAAATCCCTGCTCCTCTATCTACTTAACAATGTACCTTGGACAAGTTACCTATCTGAATTTTTTACGCATAGGCAAAATGGAGACAACAATATTCCCTATTCGAACTTAGAGGTACCAGGCCCATAGGAGCATTGAATGAATGTTTACGAAATAATATTGAGACACATTTAGTTACTGTAGTAGAGAGACTATTTCTTCTGTATGTGGGGAAGGAACCTCTAAAAGATGTAATAACACTGTTGTAAGAAAGAACTTTCCAACATTTGAAGATATCACAAAATCAGAAGGGAGGCACTGCCAGGCAGTGAGCTGCCATCCTAGGATACGTTCAAGTAGCAGATGCCTGTTAGAGACTCTGATGTGAGAGGATGGACTCTATAAATTCCACATTATCGTTCAAGTGAACATTATGTGACACTGATTAAATTTTATTAAAATTTTCTTTGTCTTTTATTTCTGAATTTACTTATATGTGATCTCTTGGCCTTATTTTGAGGCAAATCCAATTTCCAGATGCTGCAAAAATTATAGCATACCCCTCTTTATTAAACCTCATATTAAAGTGAGGAATCTAGACTTCTTGTAAAAAGAATCAAAACTAAGCAGTGTTGTTGTATTAGAACTTCATTTTTCATTACTATATGCAATATACGCTGTCTCTAGATATTAACAAATTTTAGTTTCTATTTAATTTAACATTGATTTTTTCCCCACTCACAACCCTAACATCTGCTGTTCTCTGACTAAGAGGCATTTTCATGGTGAAAGCTCATTGGAAAGGGAAGAGTCATGCTGGCTGCTTGTACCCTTTGTTCCTTACTCCCAGTGGGGATTTGGGACTAAGTAAATAAAAATGAATCCCTTAAATAAAGACACATAGCCTGAGAATCCTGGGACAGAAAGCAGAATGACTTTCTGTAACCAACACAGGCCCATCCTCCTCAGTAGCTAGTAAGGATAAGAAGGTATTAATATTCAGGGGGCAAGCTCAGTTAAAAATGAGATACAGAGAAATCATGTATCATACAGCATTTTGATGTCATAATAAGCTGGAGTTTTCCTTTAGAATGCTACTCTAGAATGAGGCATGCATGGCTCCTATAGCAAAGTAACATTGTAAAATATGCTTGTAAGAAAAATAAACCCAGTAAGAAACAATTCACCATAAGAGAGCAGACAGCACAACAATGGGAGGGATGAGAAGAACACCTGAATGCGACATAATGGGACAATCTGAAATAAATGGCAAAATGAATCATGGTTAAATGATTAAATAAATTCCAGATGCCACAAGTGAAGCAAATAGTATTATTATAAAGGGCTGATTTGAGAAAAAAACCTAAACTCTTTTGGAAAAGCGACACGGTTAGCAAAAAAAAAAAAAAAAATCAATAGACAGATTAGTAAATGTGCTAAAGACAATTAATGGACTGGAGAACAGAATTGAAGAAACTTCTCTAAAAATAGCATAGTGAGAAGAAAGACATTTGAGGAATATAAAAATATTAAAGCCATGAAGATCAATGAAAAATCCAACATACATCTATTAAGAATTTTAGAAGGGAGAGTAAGAAATTGAGCAAGAAAAGTAATTTAAAAAGATAATGATGAGAATTTTTTCAGGATTATGAATCTTAATGAAAGGCTCCAAATCAGAAAAAAAAAAAAAAAAAAGAATCACACTTGAGACCATCATAGCAAACAAAAGCATCCCAAATAAATTAAATATTTAAATCAATGTATTACTTTTAAATAGAGCCAGAAAACAATGTGCACAGTTGCTTTAGGTTGAAGAACATGTTTATCAATTTAGATCTACTTAACTAGGCAAATCATTAAGAGCAGAGGCAAACCTAAAACATTTTCAGATAAGTAAAGTTTCAGATAAATAAATAAAGCTTACCACTCACAGACGATCTCTGGCACACCACTGAATAAAATGTGCATTTTAGTATGAAGAATAATTACAGAGAAATAGAGTGGTATGCAAGAGACAATGGTGAGCAAAGTAACTGGTATGATATTAAGTCAGCATTGTGTCATTACCACTACTACAGCCACTATAGATAACAAATAATTAGTGGCTTTAAATTAATAATAATAACACTTGCATAATGTTCACAAGCTAGATACAATCATCATCTCTATTTTACAAGTGAGGAAAAGGAGGGACAGATTGCGACTTGTCCATATGCATATAGCCAGTAGGTGGCAGAGTCAGGATTTGAACCCAAGCCACCTATCTACAGAGTCTATGGTTGAAATCACTTTATGATTCTATTGCTACATTCTATACAACTAATCTGTGAAACTTCCAAGTCATGCCTAAAGAAGCTAATGCTTCTTTCTTCTTCCTCTTTGCCATTTTGTGGAATGTACATGTGGAAATGAGCCAACTTTGACCAAGTGGACATTACCACATCTGATTTCTTTTGGTTAACAATTCCTAGATACATTAGGTAGGATATTGATTTGGCTCCATCCTTTTTTTTCTTTTTTAACTGAAATCCCACAATGGGTGTTTCAACAAGAGAGAAGGTGCCTTTCTCTCACAGAAAAGCTTGAACCGGTAGGTGGCCCAAAGGTGGCATATCTTAGCAACAAGAAAAAGGCAACTGGGATCTGTGGATAACTTAAAAAAGAAGAATTATCACACCCTCAAATCATATTCTAACTAATATACTCAGCAAATGTTAGCCAAAAGAAAACAGATATGTAAATATTACTGTCAGATGAAATATACCTTACTGCCAAAAATATCATTATAGTCTCAGAAAAACAACTAACCAGGTAGACATAATAGTCCTGGATCTGTATGCATCTAATAACACAGACTCAACATATATAAAGTGCATATGTATATACTAAAAAAAGACAAATCCATAATTTAAAAACCCCATAAGTGGGAGGAGATGTTTCTGTTTCTTT